GTCCCATGCAATGATGTGAAACAGAATATTTTATTCCAGAGAAAATCCTCAAGTTACTGCAAACCTTGTTGCTGCTATATTTTGACTGAATTAGAATACACGTATATCTTAGTATTTCTTCGCGTTTATAATTGTGTGTTAACGTTGCGATTACTCGACATCCGCAACGTAATTCAAAAGGCACTTGCGAAGGAATACGATAGTGTATTATTGCAGCAATCAAAATTCGAAAATCGAGCGAGTGCAAAAGTATCAATTGTTAACATGCAAGATTTAGAGTAATAAACAAATCAAAGTACAATTACACAATGAAAGTATAGTACGATGATGATTAATAAAATGGGTCACTACAATAGCCCCTCCGTAGAATGCAGGTAAATGAAGTTTACCTGTATTCGGAATGATATTGTAAATTACAAGGACAAAAAAAATATGAAAACCGAATTGAGGCTTTTAAGTTTTTGAGGTTTGATAATATAACTGTATATATGCAAAAATGTTAACAACTTCGAAACGAACCAAAATGTTTAGAAAGTTTTGCAAAATGTAACAATAAAACTAGAAATATTATTAGAATAATAATGGGGTTGTTATTGTAAGGAGTTACAGAATAGATTTATATCTTAACATACAGTTAATAGTATAGTAATAAGGAAGTATGGAAATGACTTGGGCAAACATTCAGTTACCTCTATTTCCATGAAAGCTGGTTGTACAAGTGGAATTGTACAAGAAGAGATGGTTGTGCCAGAGAAGAGTGCAGCAGTAGCTGCTGCTGCTGATACGGTTGAAAGTAAACGTCCGTCAGCATGTTGTTGTTGTTGCTGGGGTGTTGTTACTCGGCGTTGAGGAGTAACTTGAATTGATGTTTGCTGAGGTTGGAGAGTAGAAGTTGGTTGATTGATAGCCATTCCAACAAGAGCAGTTGGCACAAGCTGTGGTAAACCAGTGGTTTGAATCAATTGACCGTTAGGAACAACAGTCATGACTTTTATTGGAGCTCCTGGTGCCAGAGTGATAAACTGGGGAGTAGCATAGGAGCGTGCAGCTACAGTACCAGGTTGACCACTGACAGGGACGTCAGTTGCCATCATTGTTGGTTGTTGCTGATGTTGTTGGATATAAGTTGGCTGTTGAGCTGGTTGTAACTGATGAGCTTGTGCTTGACTCTGTTGTTGTTGAGGTGATTGGGTAAACTGTTGTAATTGAACAGCTGTAGGATCGACTTGAGTAAATGGAGTTGCAGACCATTGTAAGAGTGTTTGCACACCTGTAGACAATGCTGAAGCTTGAGGACAGAGAACTGGAATTGAGGTGTTGCATAACAGCCAGCTGTTATAGCTGCTTGAGTATCAGGGTGAACTGGGATAGCAGTCGCTGTGCCGCCAGGTCCGGAGGTACTTTTAGCAGAAATATCAGTAATTATACATCCAAATGTTATGAAGTTATAAAAGTTAATGCGATGGCAAAGATGATTTATTCCACTGTGTATACTTCGAAATGATGTAGTCCATCAATCAGCTATGTCGGGCTCACCAATTTGTTGCTGCTATATTTTGACTGAATTAGAATACACGTATATCTTAGTATTTCTTCGCGTTTATAATTGTGTGTTAACGTTGCGATTACTCGACATCCGCAACGTAATTCAAAAGGCACTTGCGAAGGAATACGATAGTGTATTATTGCAGCAATCAAGATTCAAAATTCGAGTGAGTACAAAAGTATCAATTGTTAACATGCAAGATTTAGAGTAATAAACAAATCAAAGTACAATTACACAATGAAAGTATAGTACGATGATGATTAATAAAATGGGTCACTACAACCTACGCTCAAATTAAACTTCCCTTATTTCAACAGATAATTAAATTCCCAAGAAAAAAGTTGTACAAGCCACTGCTTACCAACCTACCTTAACAAGGACAGTAAGGCTTTCATTTCAGTTGTACTATGTTTTTCTAAGAACTTATGGCTGTTGTGTAATGTGTTCAGAGTGAGTCGTGCGATCTACATCCTTTTTACTCTCCCAGTGAATACATAAAGTGTAAACATAATAAAATCTGACTTTAAATTGATTCCAGTTAATCTATAAACTATATGTGATAGTGTAATCATACTCTGGTTAATTCCGCGCTAGTTAACAAGCGGTCCTGTATGAATGGTCAAATATTTAAGGGATATTTCCAGACCACATAAGTTCTGGCCGATTTACTTTCGAATTCTTCAAAGTTTAAAAGTTCATTGAAGCTATAACTGCTAGTGCCAGAGCAACAAAATGGAACTAGCTGGTTCAGGAATCAATCTGCTTACTAAATATACCCCCCCCCCCATGCTAAAAGAAAATTTCAGCAAGACTACTGCATTTCGAAAGTATAAATTCATGGAATGATTTCTCAGCAGTCTTCTATGATTATATATTCGCCTTAAAACTAGCCAGTTATCCACCGAAAATATCAGGCGTTCAACAAGTCATATCTGGAGAATAAAGTAATCTTAGGCATATTTCAGGACTCCAGTTGTAACAAAGCAAGCTATTTGATTGAAATAAAGGCTATCAATATTTGAAGTCAATATAGCCATCTGATATTCCATTGTGCTGTTCAAAATAAGTGGGAAACTGGGAAAATGCTGCAGCCTAATTATTCGCCCAATTGTCTCCTACAATTTCTTAGCTTACTATTATCTGGTGAATCGGATTACTGTAGACATAAATAGTCTCCAAATGTCATTCTTATCACTGTTTTGATACGTACAAAGTGAATTAAATTCTTCCCTAAGAAGGTGAATGGTTTTTAAGCTAGTTACTTCTGCTTGACAAACTTCAATTTTGAGAGTGAGAACGCCTCAATTATTGCAAATGATGGCACCACACGATGACTTTATGAGGCTTTAGCTGTTGTCTCTTACTAAGAACTCATGACAAACGCGGAAATCTCTGTGATAAACAAAGTATTCGTAATCTCCACTAAATAATATCTGTTCAGTTGACATTTGATTTTCTATACTTGCCTTGTGACTCCCTTATGCTTGATATATTTTTCCGTCTGGGCCTCATCCCATTTCCTGGTTAGTTGTTTTTGTCACTTAAATTAAATTTTTGAGTGAATATAATTCGGCTACTCTAGTACTTTGTATTTATGGAAACCAGCTAATGTTTCCTCTATTATTACACATTATTCGAATTGTTTGGTTCTGATTAGGCCTCTTTGGAATACTGACCATTTGTTACTTAAATGCACCAGAGTTATGTCACTCATTTCATCACTTTAGTCTTAGCATACTTATAGTACAGCTCTGATAATGAATCTTATTAATCATTATATAGAGCTTTTTAGCTTCGTACAGAAAACAGACACAGTAATTTGAACTACAAACTTGTCTTATTCCATATGGGTTAATACTCGTCAAAAGACGGTGCTACCATGCGAAGAACTCATCAAAGTATCATTTTCATGAAAACCAATGAATTGCCCTTGAAATACAAACGCAATCTGATAAATTGCTTGGTTCACAGAGCAAGAGAAATCTGCTTGGATGAATGTCTTGATAAGGAACTTAATAATATTAAACGGTTGCTGAGTGAAGACGGTTATCCAGAAAAGTTTATTGATAAGAATATGGATCTAAAATCAAAGCAGCCCAAGGTACTGACAGTTCCTAAAAAGGCCTTATTCTGACAAACTCAGTTCCTTGGGGACAACATCATCGAGATACTAACACAACGCCTTAGAAATGCGGTAAAAAGAGCATTCCCTGCTGCTGAATTACGCTGTGTCTTCAAAACCACTCCTCTTTTGCGTTCAAAAGTAAAAGACAAACTGCCTAATTTCACCTCTTCCATGTGTATCTACCAATTTAACTGCTCCTGTGGAGCCAGTTACATAGGCCGTACAATTAGGCGTGTTTCTTGTCGGATTTCCGAACATCACCCTGCGCGGTTAAGTAAAGGAGAAACAAATTCTATTTGTAGCGCTACTCTATCTCATATTGTGGATACAGATCACAAGATTCATGTTAACCAGGCTTTCAGAGTCATTTACCGCATACCAACAAATCTTAACTTCGCCTTAAGAGTTCGTTTACTAAATATTGCTGAGGCCGTTGGGATCCACATTAAGAAGCTTAATTTATGTGTCCAAAAGAAGCTAGTTCAGACATTGTCCTTACCTTGGCCATCTAGGTTTGAATGATGCTCAATTTTTGTAAAAATTCCCCTAATTTTAGTTGATATTCTATCTGCTATTACATATTTATTATTATTATTTGAGCATCTTGAATGAACTGTAATTCCATTGATCATACTTTACAAATCGATATTATTAAAAAAACACTAATATTGTTATTGACTACTATTCTAGAATATTCTATGTATATAAACATATATAATTGTAGAACCAGACGAGGAAATTATCGAAAAGGATATTCTTTGCTCAATTGTTTTGCGTTTTATAGATGTCTGAAAGAATATTTTCGCTAAATTGCATAAATGTAGGATGTCAGACATATTTCTATTTTTGAGATCTAAGGAATGAACTCCAGTGCTTACTCTATGTTTCCGATACTACTCTCAATTCGGTAGAGTAAAATTAACGATTATAAATCCTATTCACTCTGTATGTAAAACTGCGATGACAAAATTACAGAAAATGTATCTCTTATATTAACTAACTTAAACAACTTTAAACTTTTGATAATTTTAGTTTGACTAACATTTTAAGTTTTATTCTCCAAAGAAATTTACCCCCCCCCACCCCCGAAGCCCTTATTATTTCAAAAACGAAAGCAGATATGAAAAAGGATATCTGAAAAACATTATATGATAAAAAATGTTACATGAAACCATTCTAAACCATAATTAGACACATAAAAGATACACACGCACACACACACAAAACAAATTGAGAAGGGCATATTTTAAAATTATATGGACAGTCGCGTTTTCATCCTTTGAATGTAACTCGAGTATATATATTTAACAGAATGAAGAAGATGGCGAATTAGGCGGCCAACAGCTGCGCATCATCTTTTGAGTCTTTTTCAAACAATGCTCCCTAAAATTTAAAAGAGATAAAATACATCATGTGTATGATGTAATAACCGATTAGCAGAAAATAAATTAATACAAATATATATATGTATATATAGATGTCATGTATTCACAATTACCTTATCATCAGGATCTTTTTCATCTTCTTTATGCATTTCAGATTCCTTCTACAAAGAAAATTAACCAACAACCAAAAAAGTATTGAGTTGAGTCAGTTGATCATGAAAATGGCTGAGCAGATTTCAGTTTACACTCTTTTATTATCAATGAAAGAATTAACTAAGTACCAAAATCAAGTCATTTGGCATATCCTAGAGCTTAATAAAACAATCTTTCATCTGTAATCTTACATATACACTATGGAATATGATTTAGGCAAACATGCGTTTACGGTAAATTCTTATCAAGCCTTACAATTGCATAATAAAATATTAGTCACAGGCATCTGGAACAATGTGGATTAGTAGAATCAAAGTTCAGGGATGTGAGTTAGTGGATAATAATAATAGAGGTGATCATTATATTCATAATAATAACAAGAATAAATCCATCCATGTTAGTAGTACGAATGAAAATAACATTTACAGTAATCCGGTGTCACCGAATAATTATTTTAAGTTGGGGTTGCAGGCCATAGGAGCAGCAGGGATTGAAGAAACTTTTTCTGAACACAAATAGATTGAGTTGAAAATGTTTTATGGCAACTACCTTAGTTATGCTTACCAGTCGAAGGTGAAGAGACTTAGGGAATTGAGGTGGCACCTTGTGTAGAATTGTAAACACAGAATTTTTGTAGTAAGCCCCCATATCATGAAAATAAGAGTAGTCGTTTAGTATTAACAGATTTTTAACGAATATGAATCCTATATGAAGAAAATAGTATTTATAATATAAGATTGCATATTTCCAACTCGGAACATTAATGTTCTGACATTATTACTGCTCACTAATCTCTGTTAAAAGATATCACTGTCAAGAGTGCAGGAAAATAAAGTCTGATGGTTGAAGTATTGAGTAACAAGAGTCTAAATCTCCAAGAGGAACAACGATCACCTTAAGGTCTTGTAGATATATCATTACTTACGAGAGCTAATAAGCAAGAAAACTTGCCTTAGGACCACTCCTGACACTTGTTTATGACGATCTAACAATATGACTTTTTCTTCTAAAGCACGTTTCGTCAGTATGTCTAACGCTATTTTTAATTTTAAAAAATTCGTTTTCACAGTGCATTAACTTGATTTCAAGCTTTCTAATAATTTATTATAGTTTCCAAGTGTTTGATTTTCAGGTATCCAATTGATTTCAGAAGTGATGACAAAGTGGCTTCAGTTAGAGAACTACTGAAAACCAGAAAGTATTAAACAGTTGCTTCGGCCTTGTTTTCGGGGCTTCTCAGCAATACAAGGAGCGAATAGCTGTCCAGTAGTCCTTGGTTTTCGATGGTTCGCTAACTGAGATCAGTTTGTGATCAATATTGAAATCTGTTATAGTGTGTTTGTTGAGTTTTTCTATTAATATTTGTTTAAATGTTATAAAACATTTAATAGTTGAATAAAAAAAGTCAACTACTTACATATAATCGACCTAACACAAGGAGGATAATAATAATCATAAGACTGCTAAACATCATTCCATTTCTAAATAACTCATCAGTCCTCTGATCTTCTTCTCCTTCTTCTCCTTCAATTTGACTTGGTTGTTTTATAACAGCTGCCATAGTTAACAGTGAGATAGTAAATGTGCCAAACAATGCAATGACAAAAGAAAAATATTTTACAGATCGTGGAGAACGTTGATCTTCAGTTTTCTCAGACTGCAAAAGGGAAATGGCAGACAAACAATCATAGTTTAAAATTAGAAGAAAGTAAACGCCAGTGTGAACAGAAGTAATGCGATTTGAACGCGAAGATTAGAACGGTTATCGTTTCAAATTTAACTTACAAGTTTCTTTCGATGATGATGGTGATGATGTTTAATTTTAAATTTTAGACTTTGATTTGGTACGCTTTTAAAAACAAAACATCTTTATAATCCTAGTTTTTTTCTGTGTTTCCTCCAAAGACAGAGTATATCAGTCATGTCTGAAAGATATTTAATGGCTAACATTCAATTACAAAGAAGGTGATACTAAGAGGACAGATGGAAAATTCTGTTTTCTCAGTTGTACTTTCTATTACTCATAGTAAAACGTAAGTCAGCCAGATAATATTGAGGCAGTTTATTCTCATTTGTTTTGTTATGCATTCTCAGCTTTTGGTGATGGAAGTTTGTTTTGGAAATTTAATAGTTATACTTGGTAGTTTAGATGTGATTATTACCAATAATAGTTGTTACTAATTATTAATTAGGTAGCGTTTTAATCTAACACTTGTTTTTTGAACAGTTAGTCTGGGATTCTTCGGCACTATGCGCACATAGGAGTTAGAAAGCAGGACGTTCGAGTTACAAGGTAAGCTCGTAGACCATTTAGCCACTGAGACCCAATTCAATGACCCGTGGATTCTTACTCCTGGCATTTTTCCGGAGAACTTCCTTTTCTAGTATAGGTATAGGCAATAATAAATAATATAGTAAGATTAGTGAAAATAGAATCAAAGCATAGGTTGGTATGGCATTCACCCCAACAGTTTGTAATCTCTCAGTCTAGCGTAGATCCTGATCCAGGCTTTTGTTCCAACTTTTATCCTCAATAAAACTTTGTCAAGTTGAAGGTATCTCAGTTCGTTTAACTATAAGAATATTAGGAAAATATCTTTTAAAAGAAGAAAGTAACGCCAGTGAATAGTTGCTAAAAACTATTCTCACATAATTTCCAGCTAGTTAAATAAAGTTGTACTTCGTATAAAATGAATATTAGTTAACAAATAGTTTATTCAAAACTTCCACATATACTCACCGCCATTGTATACTACTGACAGAATGACTTATAGCTGCAACTGTGAATTAATTATTAAAAATACTTCTAATAAAGAAGTATTCAAAGAAATGATATTATATGCCTTTTTGTTATCAGTTTAACTGAAAAGTTTAAATATACTTCTGTTTATCATTCTCATAGAAAATTAGTACCGAAGTACACTCATTACATTGAATTAAACTTTGGCCTAATTGTTAATTAAGCAATAACACTATCTATACAGCGTTGCCCTTTGCCTTAAGTTTAAAAAAACAAAAATAATAATATTTAAGTTTTAAGATATAGAAATAAATACTTAGATATTCTAATCTGATGATGTGACTGAGTGTTTTTTTTTATAAGATAATATTCTGTTTTTGTATTTTGGAATGTTTTTGATTCTTCTTATTCTTATTCTTATCATTAGTGTTACTTTGATACTGTTGAATTCACTGTTGACATAAAGAATACAGATAGAACTTTAATGAATGATTGACTTACTGATTAAAACAAAAAATTACAACATTAAAAACAATTAAGTATTTAGGTATACACTGTTTAAGTCATTTTTAACTGGTTGGTGGAGAAAAAACACTGTTATTATTACGTAGTTCATATCAAGTTGAGTAGATTAAAATATGGTCTATGCGTGTTAATACCTTAGTGAATCCATGTAACTGATAGACTGAAAGACAGCCATCTTACTTCCCAGTGTTGCTCTGTAGACATTTGATTAGATCAAGAAGTTATATCAGTAGGCGAATCTATGTAAACCAGACGGAGTAGTCGACTAGCTGTAGCGCTATATTGCCTGCAAACTGGTGGAAGTTAGAATTTATGGACTACTGAATACCCTACCAGTAGGTAATTTGTTAACCAATCCACTGTGGAACATAAATGTCCTGGGTTCGATCTAAGGTGGAGTCATCAGTGTGTACCGTTAAGAAGTCCTAAACTAGGATAGAAAGGCTATTCAGTAATTCGTGATTTTCAATAATTTTCCAACTGATTTTAATTTGTAATGTGATTTGAAATCTTTTATTTTAGGGTAGAACTTGAAAGCTATGGTAAAGTACAAGTTCGGTATGTTCAGTGTCAAAAGAAGATTTACTTTGTTGTGAAATTATTTAACCCTATGGATGGGAAAATTTCATTTGCCCACAAACTGTTGTCAAAATAAATATTAGCATTGATCCCTTGGGTTCCATGCGGAAAAAAGGATTTCAGAAACACATCTCCACTTCGTTCTATTTTCTTCAGTCCTCTGCAGCTGAGCCCACGATCGTCCATAGTCCCTCATCTCCTCCTCACAAGATCTACTCCATATCACCATAGATCAACCCACTCATTGTTTACCATTTAGGTTCCACTCGAGCGATAGCCTGGCGCACGATGTTATTCGGCGATCTCATCAACGTATGCCCAATCCATCTACTTCCGCAGCATGTTTGTTGAACGATAGGTTCTTGGTTAGTTTGATCCCATAGTTTCTTGTTGCTAATTATTTCCGCCTGGCCATCTTGGGAAGGCAACTGTAGATGAAATCCTGAAATCTTTTGGAAATGCTGTTTATATCACGCTGACCAAGTTTCTCATCCCTATAGAAGATTAATTTCACATTCGTGTTGAAAAGAATCTTGTTCTTTATGTTGAGGCGGAGTGCAGGAGATTTCCAAACCAACTTCAGGTTGATGAAGGTGTGTCTCGCCATTTTGATTCTGGTTTTGAAGTCCTCATCAGTTCCGCCTGTGTTTGAAACAGTGCTTCCTCGATAAGTGAAGGAAGTGACCTCTTCCCAGTGATAGTGATTGGTATTGTTTGTTGTAGCAGTTGGTTGGTAATCTCCACCACCTCCGTCTTCTCTGTGTTCACCTGGAGCCCTGTCTTTGCCGCCTGTCTCTTCAGCTAGTTTGCTGGTTTCCGCCTGCAAGTCTTCGAGTTTGTGTAACACTGAACATAAATCATCCTTATTTGAAATCCAGATCTTCCAGAGTCTTCTTATCGATCCAGTGTATTCCTGTCTTCTCACTCTCCACAGTGTGACGCATGATCCAGTCCACCACAATTAGGAATATCATTGGTGATAATAGGCAGCCTTGTCTTACTCTTGTATTCACTTCAAATGCTTCGACTAGTTTACTAATTTGCTAGTTTTCTAGACGGTCCCAAGCCTGGGCAAAGAAGTTGGTTGGACGAGCGGCTATCAACCTTACCCCTGAAAATCAAACAAACTGCTACAGAAACTTCAACGCACAAGAAAAGTATTAAAAACACAAAAAGTAAGAAAGACAAATTAAATGTAAAAAGTGATTTTTCAATAAACTGACTTCATCAGTACTAATTTATATGATCAATGAAAATTACTTAGTTATTCGCACAACTGGAAGAAGTCAAACCATAAGACTAGTTGGTACATCATTCTCCAATCTCCTCATTGCATTACAAGTTTTATATCGGCGTATAAAACTCTCTAATTACTGAAGTGATATATTTTGCATAAAATATCATGCACTAAACTATATTCGACTAATTTCTTCTTTTGATATAGAACAGTTTGGTAGGACATAGTTTACTGTATGATATTTTAGACACAGTTTTCTCACCTCAGTAATCTGAGGGTTTTATACGCTCCCATAGAACTTGTAATACAAGGGGGCGGCATGTGACAGATTCAATAATGATAAACTAACCTGTCCAAATAGTCAGTTCGAAAATCTTCTGCAATTATGATAAACAACAAAAATCGGATTTTCAGTACCAGTGTTAAGTCACTTGTTCCATATGAGTCAGAATCTTGGCCAGCTCGTCACGAAAAGCATTTCCAGCAGGCTGCAGACTTATCAACAGCTGACTTTACTGATTTGATACTGAGGTTAAAATGGCTGACCACGAACAAATAAGCAACAAGAAACTCTCGGAATGAACAGATCAAGAACCTATTCCTCAACAAATCTCCCAAAGAAAATGGAGATTGACCGCACACATCTTGAGGAGACCATTGGGTGACACCACGCAACTGGCCATCGCTCGAGTAGAACCCGAATGGGAAACGGCCAGCTGACTGTCCAAAGGTCAAATGGGAACGATTGTGAAAGGAAGAGATGGAAGACTATAGATAATCGTGGGGCCAGCTAAAGGCAGCTGTGGGGAACAGGATGAAATGGAGATGTCATTAATAATGAGCACACATGATCCCACTGAGGACTGAACCTAAGATTTTCTGGTTACTATGGAAGTCTACTGATCATTCAGACACTGGGATGGAATCCAATGACAAATGAATTTAAACTTCTTTTAATTCACGATTTATTGCACCAGTCTGTGTCAATCCCTTATCTAACTTGAAAGCACGTATTTTAAGTGATACTCAGGGCTTATTCCTCTTTTGAATTTAGCAGTCTTAGTGTGACATTCGTAATCTGGTTTCCTCGTGATATTTTGCATGACTTTACTGAAAAAAGGTTAGTGAATAGAATTGCTGAATACGGTAAATTCTTTTTACGGAAAATAAAGAAATTATAAAAACCTTTCAGACTAAGCTGCACGCTTTTAGTAAATAATAACTCCGTGCAAACGAAAAAAAGTTGATAGAACTTCATTTAAAACTATTTGTCTTCGTTTGTAAAATAACATGCCTTCTAATAAGATGAATGAAGGCTGTAAGTTCTCGAGAAAGTTAAACTGTGAAACCCAAGATTCGTACATTTACATTACCGATAATATTTGGCTGACACTGCAACAGAAATGGTGCATATCTTTATTTATTTTATGAGAAATATCTTGATGCCCATTAGTAAAAACATCATATCAAAAAATATTTACGACAAGAAATAACTTCCCATGCTAATGAAATGAAGCCAAAAGGAGAGAAATAATTTAAAACATCATTTCAGTTGAAATAAATTGTAAGGGAGGATGAACTGAAATCCCGTCTAAAACTCTAGCTAACCTCACCTCTGAGGATAGTTCTAAAGTTTCCTGCTTATGCTGTCATCAAATTTTATTTGTATCTAGATACGTGAGTTTCACTGTTTTAACCACAGTGTAGTAAGTTGGTATAAAATTTAAGTGCTAGATTAAGTGAATAAGTTATCGATCAAAAAAACATGCTCCGAATATTAGTAAGGAAATATAGTCACCTGCAGAAAACTACCCAGAGGGCAAAAGGTTATTCCATTTGTACAGCAGTACAAATATTTTCGGTGAACCAGTTTATAAACCTTTTTACTCCAGTGTATATATTTGAATATCTGAATTTGCAGTCTTGAAATTGGTAATAGAATGAGGAGATTGTCAAACGCCAGTTGTTTAGCAGTGACCAAGTGCAATTAAAATCTAGCAACTCAAACTTTAAATACATTTTACAGCTAAGTTGGTCCCCGATAAATAAAATACATACTTTATTCCAGGTGTTCATGAAACGGGAATGAATTGAAATGACTTTTAACTCGGTTCCGGGTGTAAACTGTATCTCGCAGAAGTCTGAAACAAATTGCAATAATCTCTATAATAATTATGCCTATCTGACAGCAGCAAACGTAAGACGATAATAAAAAGAGAGGACTTGAGTTCACAGAAGTTAAAAAACTCACCTGAAATGTATATTCTGCATATTCTTGATAGATTTAACCCATAAACTTGAAAAGTCGTCCTGAGTATTTCCTTATCGCATACGGTAACTTCGATTAATTCCATAAAACACTAGATATTACGCGTGTGTTATTGGACAAACTAACCATAATGGGTGGGTGGGTGAGTGCGCACCCACCGGGGTTCAAATCCAGAGCCTTGTAGTTACAAATCGACATCCATCAACTTGATATTAGTAAAGAAATCCCCAGTTCGCAGCATAAGAAACAACATCCGCATATTCAGCAATAGCGTCGCCTCATTCACACCTTATTTGTAGTTCAGACACGTGGCACACACATCACTGAAAGCATTTCCAACAGCCTCCTGCACACATTCATTAACAGCCTCCTTCACTGGTTCCATACTGAAGATCAGATGGCCAACCAGAAAGGATAAGCAGTCAATAAGGAATTATGGAGACCTGTCGCCCAGTGAATATATAGAAGGAAATTGAGGTGCACTTAATATGTACTGAACCGATATTTGCGTGTTATCATGTACTATATAGACCCTCGTGTGGAAAGTGAATGGAAACGACAAGTTGTGTGAATGCCTGAGGGTGACAAGGAAGACGTTGTGTGGGGGGAGCTGGAAACTTGTTGTCTACCGTCGAGCCAGCGGAAGAGGACTTCTGAGTACTAAGTGAAATGGCGATATGCTGTTGAAG